AAAAAAAAAAAGTAAATGGCTGGTAGGAAACTGGACATTTGGGTACATACAAGGTAACATCACACAGATTGTTTTCTGACTGTGGATAAAAGGTAAGTTTGAATGTAGAGATCAATCTGTTTTTTTCTCCCTGGTTAAAAGGATTAGAAGTTTACAGCCAGCCTCAGCAATTTAGCAAAATCCTATCTCAAAATAAAATAATAAAAAGGGTTTGGGGTGTGACTCAGTGGTTAAGTGACCTTCGGTTCAATCCCTAGTACCAAAGACAAACAAACAAACAAACAAACACTCTAGTTTCAAAGAGGCTCAAGGGACATAAACCAGATGCAGCATGTTGTCTTGAAATTAGACCCTGGTTTGGACATACCTGCTTTAAAGGGAAACTTAGAGAATTGTGAATAAGGATTGAATATAAGATGCTACAAAGAAATTAATTTTGACAGATTTGATCATGTTTTGGCCAGGAAAGGAAAAAAAAAATTTTAACTCTAGACCTAGGGTGATCCCATCTGCTTTATCCTCACTAAATGCTCAGCAAACATGAGGTCAACACACAGTAAGCACCAGATCACATTTTTGGGTTTGTCTAGCATGGGTTTAAACCTCAGAACCACAAATCTATTAGGTAGGTATTTCTGGGGGTACTCAGGCTTTTCCCCACTCCTAATCAACAATAATCTTCTTTCACAAGTTTTAGAGTTGCCTAAACATAGCTTCATCACCCTATCATTCTCCCAAATTTTTCTTGGCTCCCATCTCTCCAGATCTGTCTTCACTAAATCTAATCAACATTTCTCTGACTCTTTGCTTGACCTCCCTGGAGCTTCCGAGATTATGTGCCATACTCTTCTTGCAATGTATCCTTCCCTTGGCCACCAACCACCTTTCTGGCTTTTCTCTTTCTCTACAGTTTGGCCCCTTCCTCCAGTCTCCTGTAGACTGCCCTTACACTGTTCTCTCAGGGCATTCTCATGCTAATGGATCAATTTCTACATACATTTAAATTATTCTTAAATCTAGCTTCAAGGAAGATCTCACCTAGGTTTTCTGCCTTCCTACAGATTGATTCTATTTGGACAGCCCAAATAGACAGCATCCAAAACTTATGATTATTCTTGCCCACCACTCCCTTCCCCCAAAATGCCCTATTAACCTTGTTCCATCTCATACTTTGCTTTTGGTACATGTTTGGCACAGATGCAATTATTTTTCTGATTTTTTTTTTTTTTTTAATCCTAGGATGGTTGAATCTGCAGCTGCAGAACACTCTGATTCAGCCCACCTCCTCCAGGGCACTCTCAAAACGCAAATCTAATTGGTAGATAAAGTTTAAACTCTCCTACCAATTTTGGAATAACCAATTCCATCCCAGAATGGCTTCAGGCTCTAGGCCTCCCACCCCAGGGCCACTCTTCCCATCACTCTCTGGGCCTCCATCTCAACACCCACGTTTCATTTCCTCTAAAGTGGAATCCAGTTCTTTAGTACCAGACCAAATCCTGACCGGTCTTCCAACCTCCTAAGTGAGATCAAACGCCTCTGTCCCTAGATCCAGAGTTTCTTTGTACTTCTTCATCGCAATTTGCATTCTTCTACTCTGCTAATTATTACTAAAAAAAGTGGCCTAGGCTAAGGATGTCGCTCAGTGGTGGAGGGCTTACCTAGCTCGAATGAGGTCCTGAGTTCCATACCCAGCACCATAAAAAAATTAAAATGAGGGCTGGGGATGTAGCTCAGCGGTAGTGTTTGCCTAGCGTACACAAGGCCTTATGTTTGATCCCCAGTAACATAAAAAATAAATAATAAAATAAAGTAAAATAAAATGAGACGGTACAATCTTGCGTGAATAAATAAATTTTTCCTTCCTGTCCTGTACGCTGACTGGCTCACTTTCATCTTTGCTTCCCAGTCTGCGGCCAGCTGCATGGAACCCTTCTACCCGCAGAATCCAGCACAGGTTCTACTACCAGATGAATGTTAATGGAATAAATTTCCCCCATCACCCATCCCTCCCTTTCCTAACCCATCCTTCGGGCTGTATAGCCACTCCTCTTTTGTTTGTAAACCCCCACCCCACATGGATTTCTGCTTCTCTCCTCTTCATCCTTCATTCTTTTCCCCACCACTCCACCAACACCCCCCGCCAGTCCTTGGGCCCCCCGCACCCGACTCACCAGGACCGGTTGGTGCGCAGTCTGCCACCGTCTTGGCTCCTCAGCCTCGTGCTCCATGTCAACCAGGACCAGCTGCACCCTGGGACTGCGAGGGATCCAGATCCACTTCAGGCCAGGGCAGAGGCTAGATGCAGCAGCCGGCAGGCGTCCCAGCACCAGTACGCCACAATCGCTTGGTTGAGCTTCTACTTACCGCGCCGCGCCAGGGGGCGGGGTCACAGCCGCACGCATTGCCCCACCCACTCACCTGCCCCACCCACTCACCCGCGGCCCCACCCAGCCCAGCTCCCAGCTCCCAGCTGCCATCGTTGTTCAGGCTGCCCCAACGTAGGCAGGGTCCGCAAGAGTTCTCAGATCTTTATTACTTAAAGTTATTACGTGTCCACACCACACATGCATACACACACACACACACACACACACACACACACACACACACACACACACACACCCCTACACCTCCCAACCTTCAGTCTGAGCAACTCTGTGGATCCCAGGAGGTTCTGGGGACTTTGAGGTCTGAGACTCCAAGCCAGGCCTCCAGGGGGAAAGCTGGAGAAGGTGGCAGGGCCAGGTGTAGGGCCTCTGCAGATAGGAGGGACACTACCCCACCAGACCCAACTTTTGGCCATAAGATTTTGGAGGGCTAGATCTTTTCTGCTACTGCTGGGCCCCTCTGTCCCTTCCCTGTACAAATCAAAGCCAGGAAGGTCCTCCAGGCAATTTATGTATTCTCTGTGTATCCTCTGTGTGTTGGGCCTTGTTTTTGAAACTAGGGAACTAGGGATACAATGATGACAAAGACAGAACAAAGTCTTGCTCTCAGGGATTTCATCCTAAATGAGTAGACAAGCAATGAATAATAAAGGCCATAATTAACATGCTTTTGGACAGTGGTTTGGAGAGAACAAAACAGGAAATGTGAGTTGAGAACTAAATGCCTAAAAAGAACCAGCCATAGGAAAATGGACCTTAGAAGAAGGAAATCTGGAAAGCTAGGTGGCTGCAGAGAAGTGAACAGAAGGGATGGGTGTGGCACATGGGCAGAGGGATGCACAGGGCTTGCTTAGCTTTATTTCCCCCAAATCCAGGACAGGTTCAGGCACAAAAAGTCATCGAATAAATGCAGGATGAGTTAATCAATGGATACAGTTGGCTAATATGAGAGGCTCTAAGATAATGGAATGGACAGAACTTGTGCTGCTTTGGGCTGATGCTGGGGAAGACAAGGATTTACCCTAGTTCCTGGGAAGTGGCTGATGCCATTCTCCAAGATAAGTAGCACCAGAAGAGGGACAGATTCAAGACGTGTGCCGGTGATTAATTTATTTTTGAAGGGGTTGGCTTGAGGTTTTCTATGAGATATTCAAATGGGAATGTCCAGGAAGCAGTTGGATGGGCTAGAAGCTTAGGAGTCAAAGTCTGGGCCAGAGTTGTACATTTCAGACTCAAAACCATTTAATATGAATAAGATAGCCCAGGAGAAGAGTGGAGAGAAGAGGCTAAGGACCAACTTCAGAATACCTAGCACAGTGTCTGGCACATCGGAGATGATTACTAACTCTGTCAGATGAAGAGGTACACAAGTATAAAGTTTAAGTCTATGTCATGCCAAACCTAAGCTTTCCTTACTAACCCCATTTTGCTCTTAAACTGTACAACATTCTAATAGGACTGGGGAATAGGGGTGCAGTGAGGGACACATACAGAAAAGGTCAGACTGGACAACAGGAAAGCAATGGGCAGATTTAGAAAACACTAGAAAAGCCAGGCAGGTGACACACCTGTAATCTCAGTGACTTGGGAGGTTGAGGCAGGAGGATTGCAAATTTGAGGCCAATCTGGGAAATTTAACGAGGTCCTAAGCAACTTAGCAAGACCCTGTCTCAAAATAAAAAGTAAAAAGGTTTGGGAGTGGGTGTGATGTGTAGTGGTAAAGCAGCCCTGGGCTCTATTCCCATACCAATAAATAAATTAAAGAATAGGGCTGGGAATGTAGTTCAGGGGTAAAAAGCCCCTGGGTTCAGTCTTCAGTTCAAAAAAAAAAAAAAAAAAAAGACCAAACAAACAAAACAAAACGACTAGAGAAAGCTGGAAAAGCCAGTCATGAACCTGGAGGTTAGGCTGTGGGGAAAGATGCATTTAGAAAAGAAAGTCGGAGCCAGATTTTGAAGGTACAGGTTTACTCTTCAGTGTAAATTACAGATAGATATTCTCTTTCTTTCCTGACAGTATAAAGATAAGAATAAAAGTACAAGGATTACATCATTGTTTGCAATAGCAAAAAAGAAATTTGAAATAACCTAAACAGCTACCAATAGGAGAATAAATACATTGTGGTATGGTCAAACAATGGCAGTATAACTTTAATTAGAATGGGTGAATTAAAATGTTACATATCATAAGTCTAAAAGCAGCAATATGCTAAATGTAATGGAATATCCTGATTAGATCCTGAAATAAAAAAAGGGACATGAGTGGGAAAACTGGTGAAATCTGAACAAAATCTAATTTATCTAGTAATATCATACTAATGTTTATGTCTTAGTTTTGTTTGCTTGCTTCTGGGTGCTAGAGATCAAAACCAGGTTTTTGTCCCCAGTACTATTTCTTAGTTCTGTCAAGAATATTTGTGTATAGTTTTAACATCTGGAAAAGCTGGGTGAAGGTATGCAATAACTCTGCACTGTCTTTGCAACCTCTGCAACTTTTCCATGGATTTAAAATTATTCCCAAATAAAAAGCTCATTTAAAAAAATGTAAGCTAGAGGCTGGAAGAATAGCTCAGAGGTAGAGCACTGCCTTAGTATGCTCAAGGCTCTGGGTGGATCCTCAGCCCAGCAAACAAGCAAGCAAGAGGAAGGAAAGAAAGAAGGGAGGAACAGGGCTGGGGATGTGGCTCAAGCGGTAACGTTCTCACCTGGCATGTGTGCGGCCCAGGTTAGATCCTCAGCCCCACATATAAAACAAAGATGTTGTGTCCACCGAAAAACTAAAAAATATACATTAAAGAAGGGAAAGAAAGAGAGAGAGAGAGGGTAGGAGGGGAAAAAGAAAAGACGGAAGAAAGAAAAGGTGTGAATAAATGTAAGCTCAAAGGAAAAAAAGGAAGTTGCAAAGGAATTCATGCAGGATGATAGTATACTGTTAAAAGTATTAATGAGCAGGTGCAGCGTTGCTGGCCTGTAATCCCAGCTTCTCTGAATCACGAGTTCATGGTACTTAGCCTTAGTGAGGTCCTGTCTCACAATAAAAAAAATAAAAATGGTTTGGAATGTGATTCAATGGTAAAGTACCACTGGGCTCAGTCTCCAATAACAAAAATTTAAAAAAATATATATATATATATAGACAGTTCTCCCCTTTTCTTTTTCTTGTGTACCAGGGATTGAACCCAGGGGTATTTAACAACTGAGACACATCTCCAGCCTTTTTTAATATTTTATTTGGAGACAGGGTCGCACTGAGTTGCTTAGTGCCTTGCTAAATTGCTGAGGCTGGCTCTGAACTTGCCATCTTCCTGCCTCAGCCTCCCAAGCCACTGGGATTACAAGTGTGGGCCACTGCGTCCAGCTAGTTCTCCCCCCTCATACACCTTTTTTTTTTTTTTTTAGTTGTAGTTGGACACAATATTTTATTTATTTATTTTTATGTGGTGCTGAGGATTGAACCCAGGGCCTCACATGTGCGAGGCAAGCGCTCTGCCACTGAGCCACATCCACAGCCCCATAGTTCTCCCCTTTGCTTTAAATTAAAAAAAAAAAACATAAAAATATTCAGGAGAATGATAAATACTTAAGAAGGTAAGATTAAGAAAAACTTTGAGAATATGTGTTTTATAATACATCAGTTTAAATATAATTCCCAAGGTCCTTTGTTAACTTTAAAACCTAGGATGAATACTAAGTACCTTCGCTTCTTATTTTTATATATTATGAAACAGTTTAATCTTTGGGTAATTTTTAAAAGTCTTTATTTTTCATTCTTCAATTATCTGTACTATTTTCCCATTTCATTTTTTGCCTATTCACTCTGCCTCTCAGAACATTAACTGTGCTCCTTATCCTCAGAAATTCCCACTTGAATATATTTTTGTGGGGATGGGGGAATATGTGGTGTTTGGGATTAAAGGCACAGTACTCCTGAGCTACATCCCCAGACCTTTCTTATTTATTTAATTTATTTTTGAGACAAGTTCTCATTGAGTTGCTTAGGACCTCACTACATGGCTGAGTCTGCCCTTGAACTTGATATCCTCCTGCCTCAGCCTCTCATAGTTGGGCTAATAGGTATGTGCCACTGCACCTGCCACTTGGCCCAGCTTTGAATTTTCTTATTTTGTTTCATTATTGAGATCAAACTTAGGACCTGGCATATTCTAGGCAGGTATTCTACCACTAAGCTACATCTTCAGCCCTCTTTGGGTCATTTTAATGGCTGTGTTGATAATTGCCCTTCTTCTTTCTTCTTTCTTCTTCTTCTTCATACTGAGGATTGAACCCAGGGGTTCTTAACCACTGAGTCACATCCCCAACCCTTTTTATACTTTATTTAGTGACAGGGTCTTGCTAGTTGCTAAGTGCCTCACTAAGTTGCTGAGGCTGGCTTTGAATTCTCAATCTGCCTATCTCAGCCTCCCTAGCTGCTGGGATTACAGGTGTGTACCACTGCACTTGGCCGTCTTGACCACCATGCTGTGACCTGCTTCTCTCCACCACACTCTCCCACCACGATGTTCAGCCTCACCTCAAGACCCGAAGAATGGAACCAGCCTTCTCTGGCTTAAGACCTCTGAAACTGGACAAGGACAGAGCGTTTGGTAACAAATCCGGTACCCCAGGTAGGACCCAAGAGCAGCCCCTGTTTCAGCTTTCTTGGGCAGGCCTGGCTGTTCAAGGAACCCCACTTCCCTGCTGAGGTGGCTGACGAACTTGTTGAGAGCTAACTGTAGGAGAGTTAGGAGACAGGTTGCTCCTCTGGGTCCACTTTGAGAAAAAGGAAGCTGAATTCAGTGAAGTCGGGACATCCTTGGCCATCTGTCGTAGTGGACAGCATGCCTTTATTTGCTAATTTTTGTATGCGGTGCTAAGGATCGAACCCAGGACCTCACACATGCTAGTGTTTTACAGAGCACCATCCCTGCCCTA